GCCCACGGCTGCTGCTGCTGCGGTGATGGCTGCTGCTGCTGGTTCTGGGCACCAGCACCAACCCCCTTGTCAAAACCACTATCCCCGCCACCACCACCACTAGCGCCATCTGCACGTCCTCCCTTGGGGCCATGGCGGCCCCGATGCTGGCGCTGCTGCGGGGTAGCCGCAGCTTCTCTCTCAGGTGCAGACGCAGTCGTGACAACTGCGACGGAGACGTCAGCGTACGTGCACTGTGAGGGAGCACAGCCCTGAAAGATAGGGGCTGCCGCAACACCGCTCGACTGAGCGATAGTGCGCTGGCGAGTCTCTATCTCAAACAGCTTAGTGACAAAGGCGGTTAGGGTGAGGTCGGCAGGGTGCTGACTAAGGAAGTGGTCGCGGGAAGTGGCTAAGCGGTCAGGCCGGCGCATGGCGATGAGGTACAGGGTAGCTCAGAAAGGTGGGGGGAAGGCAGTAAGCTGGGCGGCAGAGCTAGCAGTGCGGTAGCTGGTCTCTAGTGCATGGAGGTGAGTAGCGAGGTCAGCTACCGTGGGGAAAGCAAAAAGATTAGGGAAGAGCATGGGTAGGATCAAGCGGCCAACAGAGGCGGAAGCGGGTGTGGAGTAACGCTCAACTACTGCAGCAAGAAAGTCTTTGGCGTTCGCGACAGTGGTAAAGCGCGGATGCTCAGACAAGGGGAGGGCATGGCTAATGGCAAGCTGGGCCACTGCGTTACGAGAATCCCAGACAGCTCGAGCAAGCGCAGCAGCCGCAAAAGCCTCGCTCTCAGGAGTGGTAGGGCCAGTAGGGAGGGGATCAGGCGCAGGGGGGTGGGGTAGCAAACCATCAACATGCATAGCACGGGAGTGCCCATCCTGGCGCTGACCTGTCAGGTGCCGGCGGAGGTCGAGGAGCCAGGCGGTGAAGTCGATCGCGTGCCCCTCAGCGTCCAAGCGAAGAATGGCGTCCGCCATCGCACAGTGTGACAGCGGCACAGCGGCTCAGCGGCGCAGCGACTCGGCGGCTCGGCGGCTCGGTGGCGCGGCAGCTCGGGGACATGGCGGCATGGCGTCGCGGCGGTACAGTGGCTCGGAGGCACGGCGGCGCGGGTGTCCGTCGGCTCGGCGGCTCAGGCGACGAGACCGGCTAGGGCGCAAGAGGCCGGCTAGGGCGAGTGGGGCCGGCAAGGGCGCGTGGGGCCGGCGAGGGACGCGGGGGGGCTGGTAGGAGCACGAGGGGCCGTAGGAGCACGAGGTGCCGGCTGGGGCCGGCTGGGGGCGCGAGGGGCCGGTAGAGGCGCGACGGGGCCAGCTAGGGGCGCGAGGGGCCGTAGTGGCGCGCAGGGCCGGCTAGGGGCGCAAGGGGCCGGTATGGGCGCGACGGGGCCGACTAGGGTGTGACGGGGCCGGAAAGGGCACGACTGGGCCGGCTAGGGGCACGACGGGGCCGTAGGGCCGCGACAGGGCCGTAGGGGCGCGACGGGTCCGTAGGGGTGCGACGGGGCTAGCTAGGGGCGCGACGGGGCCGGCTAGGGGCGCGAGGGGCCGTAGGGGCGCGACGGGGCCTGCTAGGGGCACGACGTGGCCTTAGGGGCGCGACGGGGCCTTAGGGGCGCAACGGGGCCTGCTAGGGGCGTGACGGGGCTGTAGGGGCGCGACGGGGCCTGCTAGTGGCGCGACGGGGCCGTTGGGGCACGCGGGGCCAGCTAGGGGCGCGAGGGATCGGTAGGTGGCGGCACGGGGCGGAAGCGGGTGGGTGGACCTACATCTCGTGATACCATGTTAAGACTAGAAAGAATGAATAGAAGAAGGGAGAACACGGGAGATATAGCGTTTGGGTTGTACCCATTAAGAACATACCCTATCTAGCCTATAACTTTACATAACAATGTATGTATAAGTTGACAAGCCCCTCTGCTATAAGATGCTTTTTTTCACTGTGTGATACCCAGTTTCATGTGCCAGGTAAGTTCCACATTTTGAAGTGCCTTTATTTCCTTCGACTTCGTTTTCCCCTTTTCTCGTATGTCGTTCCTGTTTAAACAATTTTCCTTTCGTCTTTGATTTTAGGGTGGTGACTTCACTAATGGCAACGGTACGGTACTGGCGGTGAGAGCATTTACAGAGCCAAGTTCGCCGATGAGAATTTTATAAAGAAGCATTATTGCCCTGGTGTGCTCTCTATGGCTAATTTGGGGCCCAACACTAACGGGTCTGGGTCTCAGGTACCTTTCCTAACCACAAACAGCACTGATGCATTCCTCTAGCTAGAACCGTTTTCAGTGGTCTCCCCGTTTTCCGTTGTTACGTCCCTGAACTGTCTTTCAAAATAATTCCGCATTTTGTTTTCCCTCGTCCTTTTCGCCTCCGTTTTCCTGCAGTTCTTCCTGTGCACTGTGCCGACCCCGTGGCTGAACAGGAAGCACGTGGTGTTTGGACAAGTCGCGGGGGAGGATAGCATGGAATTATTGAGGACAATCCAGGCTGTCGGCTCCGGTTCGGTATGTCTTTCTTCTCCCCTTTTTACCTCTTCGCTCTCTCCCTCTCCTTCCCCCCTACCCTCGTCCTCACATGCATTGCAACACACACATGGGCACAGACACACACGCACTCATGTACGTCCGCCTTGGACCTACTACTTGGGCATACTGCACTGTGGTAGTGCCTGTGCTGTTGTTTCACTCTAGCGGCCTCTGTGCCCTATTAGCGCATACCTAGTGTTTGTGGCATGTGGTGAGGTGACATGCGCAACTTAACTTGTATCCTTGTTAAATTATATATTTGCTATATAATTGGCAGGCTTGGTAGGTGTTATTCTCGACTTCTTTTTCTCTCGTACCCTTCTCCTAGCTAAACCCTCACGCCATTTCTATGGCTTCCTCTTCCTAGCTACCTTAGTTTAACATGATAACAAAGCAGGTTCCCCTTCCCGGGCCTGCTCCCCACGCTTCCGCCGCGCACTCCTTCTCTCGCTCTCGCGCTGCCATGACGGCCGTGTCGTGCTGCTGTGGCAGCGTTGTCGTGCCGATGGCCGCGTCGTGCCGCGGATGTCTCGACGCGCTGCTGTGGCGCCGCGCCGTCGTGGCGTCGACGTCCAGCCGTGGTGGCGGCGCCGACGTCTTGTCGTGGCGGCGTGACGGCGCCGTCGTGCTGCTGTCGCAGCGTCGACGTCCCGCCGCGGCATCGACGCCGCTCTGCGACGGCGTCGTCGGGCTGCAGCCGGCCGCGCAACGCCTGTGGCGCCGTTAGACCTGCCGCCCGCTCGCCAGCCACGGGCATGATTCTGGACCACGTCCCCCCCCCTCCCCCCCCCCCTTGCCTCTCCTTTTCCTGCGTCCCCTCTTCCTTGCCACAGCCGACGCCTACCTCGTGAGGGCCTTCCCTATCGCTGCGGAGATTGGCCATGCCGCCGCGAGGGCGGGGGCCGCTGCAGTTGCCTTTGACGTCGAAGCCGCCGCCGCCGCCGCTTTCGTCGCTGGCCTGTTGCCGCCGCACGCCGCACGCCGCCGCCGCTGTCGTCACTGCGGCCGCTGCCACCGTTGCCATCTTACGGGCCATGGGAGTTGACCAATTCCGGAGTCCTCGCGGCTGCTGCTGGGAATGGGGGGCTAGGTTAGGGGGTGTGGGTGTGTGTGGGTGCTTCTACTACCAAGCCTAGGGGGTGTGTTAAATTATATATTTGTTATATCATTGGTTGGCTTGATAGGTGTTATTGAAACCTACCGTAGAGGGTACAACCCCCCTCCTTGTATGCCTCTCTCTTTTATTCTCGACCTCTTTTTCTCCCGTAACTTTCTGCTAGCTAAACCCTCACGCCATTTCTATGGCTTCCTCTTCCTAGCTACCTTAATTGAACAATCCTCCCCAGTTTTCCTGTGTAATATGGTTCCACCAGCGTGCCCTCGACGGAGTCTTCAACGAGGCGCCGTGGCTGGCGTGGTGCTGGCTGACGCCTATATCAGTGCGCTGGCCGCAGCCGTCCGTGCGCTGGCGCATCGAAGCCGCCGCGGCAGCACGACGACGCCACGTCAGCACGACGAGGCCGCCGCGGCAGTGCCGCGAGGCCGCCACGGCTGCGCGTCGAGGTCGCAGCGGCATCGCAGCGAGGCCACCACGGCTGCTTGATGAGGTCGCCGCGGCAGCGCGGCGAGGCGCCACGGCTGCGTGTCGAGGTCGCAGCGGCAGCGCGGCGAGGCCACCACGGCTGCTCGACGAGGTCGCCGCGGCAGCGCGGCGAGGCCGCCGTGGCAGTGCGGCGAGGCCGCCGCGGCAGCGCGGTTGAGGCCGCCGCGGCAACTCATGAAGGCCGCCACGGCGGCGCGAAAGTGAACGTAGGGAAGAGAGTACGCGGCGGAAGCGTTAATAGGTGGCTCAGCAGGATCTTCTTGCTCTGATACCATGTTGGAAGGAGCGAAGAAGCTAGCTAGGCATGAGAATGACGAGAGGTTTTAGCTAGGGAGAAAAATGACGAGAGAAAAAAGAGTAGACTAGACAAGAGAGAGAGATACAAGAAGGGTATTGTACCCTCTATAGTAGGAATCAGTATTCTAGCACACCTACCAAGCCCACACAACTATATATAACATATATTTTGACAAGAGGGTGGTATGGTACAAATTAGCCAGTGGTGTATAGTAGATTTCTCCACTTAGCCTAGGAGATTTTGTACTGTTACTGGCTGGGAAAGTACCATAATATCCACGCTCAGTAGTAGGAGCCCCACATGCCACAAACAGAAAATGCATAACAAAGAAGCCTTTTAGGTATGGTTTCTAATACCATCAACAAATGGATTCTTATACACAACATGTATCATCTTAGTTATTGCCCAACAAATCTCATCGTATTTCTCCACATTCCACCCTCCCTCTCCGTTCTTTCCGTGCCGCCGACATCCTTTAGCGAGTATACCTGCCCCAGGCCAAGCTTCAGCTTTGCCCTTGCGCGACTTGGCCCAGACCAGAGCGCGTGCATCCATCTGCCCGTGAACAGTCTCACGGCCTTCCCTCGAGCGAAGGCCTTGCCCCGCGAACTCCTCACTTATTGCTCGACTCTAGACTAAAGCCTGCTTTAGCTAGTTACACTTGACTGAGCGATACGATGGCGCAGCCACATTCGCAGTTTTCGCTTGCATTCCTTGCTCTCGCTACAGTACCTTTAGACTGGACATTATAAGCTTCGCGCCTGCGTCATCGCTAGGGGCAGAACCAGCAGCAGGACAGGCACCCCGCACAGCGCCATGCCGCCAGTCGCCGTCGTTTCCTCCGCACAGCGCGGAATACCCCGCGCTCGTGCGCGCGGGGGAAGCTCCCCGCGCGCGGTAGTCCTGGCGGTGCTGGGGCTGGCGCTCGCGCTTGCGCTGATTCAGATGGCCGCGCAGATGGCGGTGCTGGTGCGGCGGGAGCAGCTACGGGGAAGCGGCGGGCGGGCGTACACTCCGCATTGGTCGCGCGTACGTGCGGTGCCGCGCGATGATGTTGGATCGCTAGCGAGTCTGCTAACGTGTCGCTGTCGAGTAGTATAGTCGAGTCAATCTGGTAATGGCGTATCCGCGGCACGGGAGAGCCCTAATAAATGCGCTCCTTGGTCCGTCGATTGAGCACTACGGTTCCTGATCGTATTTCTTACCCTGCGCTCTCCGCTTTCTCTCGCTCCCTCCGCCCGTCGCCCTCCGCCCGTCGCCCTCCGCTCGTCGCCCCTCCGCCCGTGTGTGTCCCCCCCCTCCTCCCCGTCCCACCAGGTGCAGCGGCGCAGCCTGGCGTCTGAAGTTAGTGCGACGGACGGCCGCGCTCACGAGCTGGCGGCGCCTCTGGCCGCGCTACGAGCAGGGAAGGACGGTCAAGTCAACCAAGGGAGGGAAGGGAAGTCAGGGGGAAAAGGCCACTCGCGGGCGTCTAAGGGTAGGAGCGGACGGAGAGGAGGGGAGGGCGAAGGAGGGGGAGAAGGAGCAGGAGAGGGAGCGGGGGGAGGAGAGGGAGCAGGAGTCAGTAGCAGCAGCCACGCGGCGTTTGGACATAGCCCACGTGGTGGTGGCTATGCGCTGAGGAGTAGAGATGGAGCAGGGCACGGAGTTGTGGTGGGATATGACGATGGAGGGAGTGGCCTGCCGGGTATGCACTTCAATGCAGTGCAGCAATGGAAGCCGCCCTGGAGTCAACGCAGTCAACGCAGTCATGCTGGTCAACGCAGCCGAACGAGTCAATCCGAGGGCCTTGCTGGCAGTAGCAGCAGCAGCAGCAGCGACAGTGGAACCGTTGGTGCTTTGTCCCTTCCATTAAAGAGGTCGGCACCACGGCAGCTAAGGCAGCTAATAGCGGAGGTACGGTTGCATGCGCTCACTCACCGCACATACTGTTAACACACAAGACACCTGATGCGTCGTGTCAAAGGCAATCCAGCACAAGGCACCATGCCATGCACACATCATGCTCGCTCTCCATGGGAGAACCTTCCTGCATTTTTCTCCCGCTCCCGCTCCTCCACCCGCTTCCCCTTCTCCTCCCGCAACCTCCCTGGCCCTCTCGCCCTCCCGCCCTCTCGCCCTCTCGCCATCTCTCCCTCTCTCCCTCTCGCCCTCTCCCTCCAGGAGGCAGCAGCAGGAGCAGCAGCCTCTTCCTCTTTCTCAGCTCAGTTGGACCATCGCTCCCAAGGCCCTATCAGGTGCGGCCTAGGTCCACCTCTCCTCTTCCCTCTCCTCGTCTCGTCTTTCTGGTCCACTCCACTCCCCATCTCTTCTTCTCCTCTCTTTTTGGCTACCTCCTTCCTTGCTGCCAATCCAAGCCCCTCTGTGAAATTGCTCTTTGGTGCAGCAGACAGGTAGGGCGTGTGGCAGTCACAAGTCATGAACCTACGCTTCCATCCCCTCCCCTCCCCTCCCCTCCCCTCCCCTCCCCTCCCTCCCCTCCCCTCCCTCCCCTCCCCTCCCCTCCCCTCCCCTCCCCCCCCTCCCCCCCTCCCCTCCCTCCCCTCCCCTCCCCTCCCCTCCCTCCCCTCCCCTCCCCTCCCCTCCCTCCCCTCCCCTCCCTCCCCTCCCCTCCCCTCCCCTCCCCTCCCCTCCCTCCCCTCCCTCCCCTCCCTCCCTCCCCTCCCTCCCCTCCCTCCCCTCCCCTCCCCTCCCCTCCCCTCCCCTCCCCCCTCCCCTCCCCTCCCTCCCCTCCCTCCCCTCCCCTCCCTCCCCTCCCTCCCCTCCCCTCCCCTCCCTCCCCTCCCCTCCCCTCCCTCCCTCCCCTCCCCTCCCCTCCCTCCCCTCCCCTCCCCTCCCCTCCCTCCCCTCCCCTCCCTCCCCTCCCCTCCCCTCCCTCCCCTCCCCCTCCCTCCCCTCCCTCCCCTCCCTCCCTCCCTCCCCTCCCTCCCCTCCCTCCCTCCCTCCCTCCCTCCCTCCCCTCCCTCCCCTCCCCTCCCTCCCTCCCTCCCTCCCCTCCCTCCCTCCCTCCCTCCCCTCCCTCCCTCCCCTCCCTCCCTCCCTCCCTCCCTCCCTCCCTCCCTCCCCTCCCTCCCTCCCTCCCTCCCTCCCTCCCTCCCTCCCTCCCTCCCTCCCTCCCTCCTCCCCTCCCTCCCTCCCTCCCTCCCTCCCTCCCTCCCTCCCTCCCTCCCTCCCTCCCCTCCCTCCCTCCCTCCCTCCTCCCTCCCTCCCTCCCTCCCTCCCCTCCCTCCCTCCCTCCCCTCCCTCCCTCCCTCCCTCCCCTCCCTCCCTCCCTCCCTCCCTCCCCTCCCTCCCTCCCCTCCCTCCCTCCCCTCCTCCCTCCCTCCCTCCCTCCCCTCCCTCCCTCCCTCCCTCCCTCCCTCCCCTCCCTCCCTCCCCTCCCTCCCTCCCCTCCCTCCCTCCCTCCCCTCCCTCCCTCCCCTCCCTCCCTCCCTCCCTCCCCTCCCTCCCTCCCTCCCTCCCTCCCTCCCTCCCTCCCTCCCTCCCTCCCTCCCTCCCCTCCCTCCCTCCCCTCCCTCCCTCCCCTCCCTCCTCCCTCCCTCCCTCCCTCCCTCCCTCCCCTCCCTCCTCCCTCCCCTCCCTCCCCCTCCTCCCTCCTCCCTCCCTCCCTCCCCTCCCTCCCTCCCTCCCCCCTCCCTCCCCTCCCTCCCTCCCTCCCCTCCCTCCCTCCCTCCCTCCTCCCTCCCTCCCTCCCTCCCCTCCCTCCCTCCCTCCCTCCCTCCCTCCCCTCCCCTCCCTCCCTCCTCCTCCCTCCCTCCCTCCTGCCTCCCTCACTCCCTCCCTCCCTCCCTCCCCTCCCTCCCTCCCCCTCCCTCCCTCTCCTCCCTCCCTCCCTCCCTCCCTCCCTCCCTCCTCCCTCCCTCCCCTCCCTCCCTCCCTCCCTCCTCCCTCCCTCCCTCCCTCCCTCCCTCCCTCCCTCCCTCCCTCCCTCCCTCCCCTCCCCCCTCCCCTCTCCCTCCCTCCCTCCCTCCCTCCCTCCCTCCCTCCCCTCCCTCCCTCCCTCCCTCCCTCCCTCCCTCCCTCCCTCCCCTCCCTCCCTCCCCTCCCTCGCTCCCCTCCCTCCCTCACTCCCCTACCTCCTCTCCCTCCCCTCCCTTCACCCCCTCTCCGCAGTGGTTTCTACACCACCATTCAGCTGGGCTCGCAGCAGCAGCCGCTGCTGGTGGGTGTGGCGACAGCAGCCGCCATGCTAGCAGTGCCCTGCATCTGCGACTCCTGCGCCGTTTCCGGCCGCCTCTCCCCTCCATCCGTCCCCGCTGCTCCCAACTCCCCTGTGCGTTCATTCATGTGTCTTTGCCAGCACTCGAGTCTGCTGGGGGAGGATGCTGTAACATGCTAGCAGTGCCCTGCGTCTGTCACTCCTGCGCCGTCTCCGGCCGCGTCTCCCCTCCCGCCAGCCCCGCTGCTCCCAACTCCCCTGTGCGTTCAACGCTATTTGCAAGCACTCGAGTCTGCGGTGTTGGGGGTGGGGGGGTATGCTGGGCCTTGGGGGGGGATGCTGTACCTTGCTAGCAGTGCCCTTCGTCTGTGACTCCTGCGCCATTTCCGGCCGCCTCTCCTCTCCCTCCGTCCCCCCTGCTCCCAACTCCCCTGTGCGTTCAATCATGGCTCTCTTCTCTTCAGAATGGGTTGTTGGGTTTGCGACTGTGCAGCATATCCCCCTGTGCGCTCACTCATGGCTCTCTCTCTCTCTCTCTGCCGAATGGGTTGCTGGGTTTGTATCTTTGTAGCAGCATATCCGTAATCCGCCGGCAGTACCCAACAATGCTGTCTGCTGGGGGGGGGGGTGGGTGGGGGAGGGGCTCTACGGAGCTAGACAGCCTTGTTGCTGCTGAAACACAGCTGCTGATTGCTGCCAGCAGACAACCATGCTTCACCGCACTACACCATACTTTACACAACTGCACCATGCACTCAGAAGTACAGGGCCTGGCTGCTCCATCTATCAGGCGTCCGTCCTTGCGAGCAGGGTTAAAAAAAACGCCGTTTTTTTCAAAAAAATACCGTATTAAACGGTATCGAATTAAACGGCCGTTAAATACGAAAAAAACGGTGAAAATTGTGAAAAAATAGGTTGGTTAAAAAAAACGGCCGAAATATTTAAAAAAGTGCAAAACAATCGGACGAAATGCGCGGATCTGGCATTTTGCCCGCCCAAATGCACGGATCTGGCATTTTTCCCACCAAAATGTGCCAGATTTTGCGTTTTTTGTGGACGAAATGCATGGATATGACGTTTTGTCAGCCAAAATACGCAGATCTGGCATTTCACCCGTTGAAATGCGCGGATCTCGCATTTGGGCGGACGAATGGCAGACGATTAGGCTGTCTAGCAAAAAAAAAAAAAAAAGATGCTCTATTTAAAAACGGCGTTTTTTTCCAAAAATCCCCGAAAAAAACGGCCGAATAATACGGACCGTATTTTTCGAAATCCGTATTTTTGAACCTTGCTTGCGAGGCATGTAGAGCTCCTCACACCCCTCTCCGGGACGATTTTTGAGGCTGATCCATCTGGCTGATCCATTCCATCTGTCAGGCGTCCTTGCAGCGCAAGTAGAGCTCGTCAGTGTAGGGCTGCCTCTATCACACGCCTCCCTGTTTCATTCCCCGTGCAGTCATTCCTTAGTTCAATCTCTTTTTCAATCTCCCCTCTCCCCCGTTTCCCCTGTCTCCCCTGTCTCCCCTGTCTCCCCTCTCTCCCCTCTCTCCCTCCCCAAACTTCCAGCCCCCTGTTTGCAGTATCCTCCAGCACCACAGCAGCCATCATCATCCCATGTATGTCCCCTGACAAGTGCCAGCTCCTAGGCAACGGCTTTGGCTGCACGCTGGTCAACACCACCTCTCTCCTCTCCCCTTCCCTCCACTTCCCTCTCTCCCTCCCCAGACTTCCAGCCCTCCGTTCGCAGTATCCTCCAGCACCACAGCAGCCATCATCCCCTGCGTGTCCCCTGACAAGTGCCAGCTCCTGGGCAACGGCTTCGGCTGCACGCTGGTTAACACCACCGACCTTTCCTGCCAGTTCAACCTGCCTCTGCTTACCGGGGGAGCTGTGGGGGGGAGCGTTGTGGGGACTGTGGTGCAAGATGTGCTGCTGCTGCCGGGGGGAGGGGGTGGAGGAGGAGGTGGTTTGACCCAGTCCGTCTTGTTTGGGTGAGTCTGGGGGTTATTGGGGGGAGTTCTAAAGGCGGCAGCATGGTAGGGACCGAGGTGCAAGATGCGCTGCTGCTGCTGGGGGAAGGGGGGGAAGGAGGAGAGGGAGGGGGATGGTGGGGGTGCTCTTACCCAGTCTGTCTTGTTTCGGTGTGTGTGTGTTGGGGTTGGTAGGGGGGGAGACGCCTGGGTGGCATGATGGGGCGCAGTGCAGAGGGTGGCGGTTAATCATGAGGGTGGGAAGGATACTCTTGAGAATTCTTAAAAAATCCTCATGCAGGCTTATCTCCTCCTCATCCGTCCTCTCTTCCTCTCCTCGTCCCTCCCTTCCACTATCCCCTTCCCATCTCCCTCCTCTCACCCCCTCTCAACCTCCCCTCCCTTCCCTTCCCTTCCCTTCCCCTCCCCTCCCCTCCTTCCCCCTCCCCTCCCCACCTCAGCTGTGCGCATCAGGACAGAGAAGCCGGGTCTCTCTCTCCTCTCCTCCCCATCTCCCTCCTCTCAATCTCCCCTCTCTTCCCTTCCCTTCCCCTCCCCTCCCCTCCCCTCCCCTCCCCGCCACCTTCAGTTGTGCACAGCAGGACGGGGAAGCCGCCTCCCTCTCCGCCTCGCTCTACCCGGACGGTCTGCTCTCGCTCTCCCGCTCTGCCACCTCCCTCCCCTCGCAACTCGTCGCGCCTTTCCCCGCCTCCTCTGCCACCACAGCAGCCGAGGGTGTGCCTGGGGGAGTGGGAGGAGCAGGAGGCGAAGCAGGGGGGGCAGAAGGGGCAGTTTCTGCAGTGCAAGTGCCGCTAGATTCCACTCTAAAAGCAGCAGAGGGAGGACCAGGCGTGGTCTTAGCAGTGTCAGCAGAGGCAGATGTGGCCCGAGTGGGTTCGCAGGGGTTGAGTGCGGTGGGGCTGTGTTTGGAGGGCGATGCTGCAGCAGCCAGTGGCGGTAAACTGGAGCTGGGAGGCTCGGCAACAGCAGCAGGGGTCGCCCTTCCTCCCACCTCCTCAACCCCCATGCTGGGTCAACCAGAAGAGTGCGTGCTGCTGGGGTTTGTCAGATGCTCGATCGGTCGGAGTTTTATTCTAGAACTCTAGAAACGTTTGGCTCCATTTTTGAAAGAGTGCGTGCTGCTGGGGTTTGTCAGATGATTGATTGGAGCCTTTTTCTAGAACTCTCAGGAGCCTTTATCGGAGGATACTGGGAGGTCCAGGTTCCTTGCCTTTTCACCCACTGTTTCACTTCCTTCGTGTCTCCCCCTCTCTGCTTGCTTAACCCATGCTCTCATTCCTTTCATCTCTCTCCCCTGTTCTAGTAGTCCCCCTCCTCCCCATACCCCTCCCTCCAGTCAGCTCTACTGCATCTCCATTGCATTGCTGCACATCCCCTCCCCTGTCTAAGCCACCGCCATAGCACCCCCGCCATACTTCCCCCCCCACAACCCCCCTCCCCCCTTCGTCCTCTCCCACCCCTCCCTCCAGTCAGCTCTACTACATCCCCATCGCATCACTGCACGTGGCGGCACATCCCCTCCCCTGTCTAAGCCGTCGTCATGGCACCCATCATACGCCCCCCATCCCCAGCCCCCCTTCCCCTCCGTTCCCACCGTCCCCTCCGTCTGCTCCCTCCCCTCCCTCCCCTCCTTCCCCTCCCTCCCCTCCCTCCCCTCCTTCCCCTCCCTCCCCTCTCTCCCCTCCTTCCCCTCCCTCCCCTCCCTCCCCTCCTTCCCCTCCCTCCCCTCCCTCCCCTCCTTCCCCTCCCTCCCCTCCCTCCCCTCCTTTTGAGGCGCCTCAAAATTCCCCTCCCTGCCCTCCCACCCCGCCCTGCAGTCAGCTCTACTACGTGTCCATCGCTTCGCTGCAGATAGCGGCACAGGCGCTGCCGCTGCCAGCCATGACATGGGAGTCAGCCCCAGAGCAGGGCCGAGGGGCGGTCATCAGCTCGTCTGCTGCCCTCACTGCACTTCCCTCCACGGCATACAACGCCTTTGTATCCAAGGTAGAGCCTACTTCTGAGGCGCCTAAAGAACACACCGCTGCCGCTGCCAGCCGTGACTTGGGACTCAGCCCCAGAGCAAGGCCGAGGTGCGGTCATTAGCTCGTCTGCTCCCCTCACTGCGATCCCTTCCACGGCATACAACACCTCTGTATCCAAGGAAGAGCCTACTTTGTAGGTGCCTAAAAAACATACCACTGCCAGCCAAGGGGGCCCCCTCTCTGTGTTCCCTTGCACCGCATACATGCAGCGTGTTCCTGTCCACCTGTCCACCTGTCCACCTGTCCACCTGTCCAAGGCAGTGGTTCAGGCTGCTTGAGAGTTGACTTTTGAGTGGACGCACAAGCAGACTCAAAAGTCACCTCATATTCTTTCCTTCCTGTCCAGTGCTATTTTTGAGGCGCCTCAAAAATAGACTTCCTGTCCAAGGCTGTGCTTCACGCTCCATGAGAGTTCTGAGTAAAACTGGACCAGGCGCCTCACAACTGGACCAGGCGCCTCACAACTGGACTAGGCGCCTCACAACTGGACTAGGCGCCTCACAACTGGACTAGGCGCCTCAAAACTGGACTGGGCGCCTCAAAACCAGCTGATAAAGGCAGAGCCTTTGGTTTCTTGAGAGTACAGCCATGTTGGTTTGCTTGCACAATGATGCCTGTGCAACATGCTGTTTCGTATGCGTCATATCGATAATGCCGTGTTTTATGCACCATACTGGTTCCTGTGGGAGAGATTTTTTCTCAAGATCTCTATTCTCAACATTCTATTGTGCCGTGCTGTGCTCAGGTGCTTCAGTTGGTGCCCGGTGCCAAGCCGGCTGCCACGTCACCACCCACCCTCCCTGTACCACTAGAATGCTACGACCTGCCCACCACTGCTAACATCTCGTGAGTGCCGCATGCCCATGCTCCCTATGACCAACTCCATGGATGCCCATGCACGTATGCCCCATTCCTCATGCTGCCTGCTATGGCCTGCGGCTGTTGACATCTCATGAGTGCATGGAATGCCGTATGCCCCATTCCCCTTGCTCTCGCTGTTCCCTCTCCCTCTTCCGTGTGGCTCCAGCATGAGTGGACTGGACTGCTGCACGTCTCCTCTTCTCTCTCGGCTGTGACGAAAAGAACGCAGAAGGCGCTTCAGGGGTCGATTCACACAACACCGCTCGGTTCTTGCGATAAGGCAAAACAAGAACAAATTCATAGGAGTCGGCCACTCTGCTTTTGAGTCGGCTCAAAAGGAGTCGGCTGCTCTGCTTTTGAGTCGACTCAAAAGGAGCCGGCTGCTCTGCTTTTGAGTCGACTCAAAAGGAGTCGGCTGCTCTGCTTTTGAGTCGACTCAAAAGGGGTCGGCTGCTCTGCTTTTGAGTCGACTCAAAAGGAGCCGGCTGCTCTGCTTTTGAGTCGACTCAAAAGGAGCTGGCTGCGCTGAGGTGCCTCCCTCTTCGTTCCCCGTCTGTCTTTCCTTCCTCCTCCCCCATCCCACCCCCTTCTTGTATCCTCCCTCCCAGCTCTCGTGCTGCTCTCCTTTCCGCCTTCCCTCTCGCCCGTCTTGACTTCTCCAACGGGGCCTTCTGGGTCTGGTTAATTCTGAGACGCCCCATCCCTCTTTCCCCCCCTCTTTCCTTCCCCCCCCCCCCGTTGGCTTGTTGTATCCGCAGCTCCCGTGCTGCTCTCCTCACTACCTTCCCTCTCGCTCGTCTGGACTTCTCTAACGGTGCCTTCTGGTGGCTACCACCAGACACCTATCTCCTGCTGCCTGTGAGTGCTCGATGTGTAGTTTTGAGCTGCCTCACACATCCGCTTTTAAGTCCGCTTTTGAGTCGACTCAAAAGCCTTTTGATGGCTACCACTGGACACCTATCTCCTGCTGCCTGTGAGTGCAAGATGTGTGGTTTTCAGCCGCCTCACATATAGCCCTCTCGCTCGTCTGGACTTCTCTAACGGGCCCTTCTGGTGGCTACCGCCAGATACCTATCTGCTGCCTGTGAGTTCTAGGTGCGTAGTTCTGAGCTGCCTCACATCCGCTTTTGAGTCCGCTCTTGAGTCGACTCAAAAGCCTTCTGGTGGTTACCACCCGACACCTATCTCCTGCTGCCTGTGAGTGCAAGAACGCTCCTGCTGGCTGCTTGCTGCTCCTCTCTACTGCTTGCTGCTCCATGTGTTACCCACCCACCCACCCACCTCCTCCTGTCTCTCTTAAGTGGCGTTTGGGTGGATTATGGACCGCCGAATGGGTCACTTGGACCACCGAATGGGGTCAGTTGGTGGCTACCGCGGAACACTTGCCTCCTGTTGGTGGTTGCATGGGAGGATGCATTGGTTTGTGCTTCCCGGTGATCAATGCACGATGCATCCTTCCACATGCGAGTCCCCTGTTCACCTGTTCATATGGCCTCTTCCTTCCTCTCCCAATTTCACCATTCCATCCCTCCCCTCCTTCCCCACCCTCCTCCTCCCACCCAGGACCCTGCGGCCTTACCTTCAACAGTTTGCTTTGCTCTGCAGAAGACGCTAACCAACACGCCACACACCATCATAGGAGGTGAGCACAGTGCACACACACACAAACGCGCATGCATGTTCATTCACACATTCACGAACATGCTTGCACCAGTGCAGATGCACGAACATACATACATATATCCAGCGCACATTCACACGCGCTACCTCATATTCACACTCGGGAAGAATTGTCCTCCCGCCATGCCCCCCCCACTCCCTCTCCCCTCGCCCTGCCCACCAGCCCCCTGGCTGTACAACAAGCATGTGTATTTCAACAATCATGCTGCCAGTGTGAGGCACCTAAAAACCCATTGCAAACGCCGCCTCCCCACTCCCTCTCCCCTTTCTCCCCCCGCCAGCCCCCTGGCTGCACAACAAGCATGTGCACTTCAACAACGATGCTGCCCAGATATCGTGGGCTGACGTCAACTGTGAGTGAGCCACCCATCCCTCCACTCCCTATTCTCGCTCCTAGAGTGGCGTGCCACACTCACAATCGTCACACACGTGTGCTCGTAACTTGTTGCAAACTCCTGCTGCTACTCACAGGGTATGGGATGGGATAGTGTGGTATAATGTGGTACTGCATGGTATGGCATGGTATGGCATGGTACGTAGTGTGCGTAAGGATTTCTTTGTCGCTCCTCACGGCTACGCACAAGATAGGTCGATAACTTTTGAGTCGGCCCAAAGGATGACTACACCTTGACCACCGTACCTCTGCTTCCTGTTCAAAAGAGAAAAACTCCTATCCCGCCCCTTTTTTCCTTCTCTTCCTCATCCCGCCCTCTCCTCTCTCTCTTCCTCCCTCCAGGCACCACATCCCAGCCACTTACCTACACTTGGAACAACCCACCCCCCCCTCCCTCCCCCAACCCTCCCAGCCCTCCTCCCCCCAATAGCCCTCCCCCACGCCCCCCCTTCCCCCTCCGCTTCCCCCACCCTCTCCCCCTCCCTTCCCCCCCTATCCCCCCACCGCTTCCTTCTCCCCCTCCCCCCTCCCCACCTCCGCCTCCTCCCCCTCTCCTCCCCCTCCTGCACCCCCACCTTCCGCTCCCCCTCTCCCCCCTCGTCCTCCCCCACCTGCCCCTCCCCCTGTAGCTCCTGCGCCCCCCTCCCCTCCTCCCCCTTCTGTTCCCCCACCTGCCCCACCTCCTGCTCCGCCTCCCTCCCCTCCCCCTACTCCCCCTCCTGCCCCCCTCCAGCTCCCCCCCTTCCTCACTCCCATCTCCATCCCTCCCTCCTGTCATCCCCCTATCCGTGCCCCTCTTCCCCCTCCTTTATCTCCCCCCCACCTTCTCCCCCGCCCATTCCCCCACCTGCTCTCCCCCCTGCTCCCCCCCCTGAAACCCCAGCAGTCCCCCTCTTGAAACTCCCCCCGTCGTGCCCCCAACCTTCCCCCCAATTCCTCCCCCTGAACCCCCACCTTCCCCAACACCCCCCCTGCGTCCCCCCCTGAAACCCCTCCCCCACAATCCGAACCTCCCACCGCCCCTCCTCCCGAGCCTCAAGCTGCTCCACCTCCAGAACCTGCATACGCGCCTCCTCCCGAACCACCAGCCTCACCTCCACCCACCGAACCTCCCCCCTCCGAACCTCCCCCGTCACCACCCCCTTCCGAACCTGAAACTCCCACTGACTCTGACTGCCCTCCCAAGCCTAGCCTGTGCGATTTCATTCTTGGAAGTTCGGGGGATTCCGTACCTCGCATCTCGCTGCAGCATCTGGTAGACCCAGGCTCGGCAGATGGGTTAACTACAGTGTCGATTAATGTTAAAGCCGGGGGGGAGGTGCGGGTGGTGGTGATTAACGTGGGTCCGGCAGAGATACTATGTGGGGAAGGGGTGGAGGAGAAGACTACATCAGCGGCATCCAGTGCTTTCTTTTTCCAGAGCAATGTGAGAGAGGAACGAATATTCAGAGTCTTAGTTGCTTCGTTTGGAAATTGCAATGGCTCCTATCGTAGTATCTCTCGTGGTTTACCCCATGCCTGTCATACAGTCGCTTACGCACACATGCACACATGCATGCATGCATGCATGCCTGCATGCCTGCCCTGGATGCATGCGCACACATGCATCTGCGGGCACTCATGCATAGGCAGTCATGCCTCATTCACTGTAATGTCTCCCATCTTCCATACGTTAACAGCACGTAACATCATGGATATTCTCTCAGCCATACTCCCACATCCCCCCTCCCCCTCTTTTTCTTTCTCTCCCACTTCTTCCCCCCCTACTTGTCAACAAACATATAGTTCTGTCTACACATATCTAGTTAGTTTATATATGTTTGCTATAGTCTAGCTAGGTCAGTTCTTAGAGGGGACACTTTTTCCCGCTAATCTAACACTTCTCCCCCCTTCCCCCCTGGTGCTTTTGAGGCGCCTCAAAAGTCCCCCCAGGTGCTAACAGCGTGCAGCATGATGGACATTCTCTAAGCCAACTTCCCCCTCTCTTCCCCCTTCCGCCCCCTCTTCCGCCCCCTCTTCCCCCTTCCCCTCCGCCTCCCCCCCACCCCCAGGTGCTGACAGCGCGCAACATCATGGACATCCTCTCAGTCAAAATCCAACTTCTCTCTTCTCCCCCGCCCCCCCACCCATGTCTCTCTCCCCCCCTCCCCCCCCCCCCCCCCCCACACCCCCAGGTGCTGACAGCGCGCAACATCATGGACATCCTCTCCGCAAACCTCGCAGACCATTACATCCGGATACCCATCAGTGCGGCGCAGGTGTCCACGGATGCCGCCACCTTCAACCTCAATGCGGGCGACGGCAACCCCATCATCCCCGATGACAGGCGCTGTGTGGTGTTCTTCTTCCAGTCACCGTCACTGGAGGAGCCGTCTGACAGCTCATCACACGATGACTCATCCAGTGACAGCTCATCTGACAGTGCGTCTGACGGTTCGTCTGACAGCTCATTGTTCCCATCTGACAGCTCGCCGTTCTCTTCTGACAGCTCAGATGACAGCTCAGCTGAGGATTCGCACCATTTCTCACACCATCCCAGATATCACCAACACTCGCACCACCACCACCATTGATTGAATTCATTCCTACCCTACTGATTTAGCCACATGTGTTGAAAAAACCTGCAAATTGGCAGAAATTTGCTACACTCATGACTTCAAATCAAACTTGTAGACATTGAACTTGAGCATCCCACAGCACGTTTAAATATATTCATTATTCAAAACTTGCAGAGGATGACATGCTGCTGGAGCCAGCCATGAGTGGCACATGAGTCGGTCAGTCGAAGAGCGACCGTTTGATGGCCACTCGCGCTAGAAGCTCACTGCGACTCTTCAGGAATAGAGCTGGCGGGGGGTTGGTACGGTGTGGTGTGGTGTGGTGTGGTGTGGTGTGGTGGTGCGGTGAGGTGACATTCGAACAAGGGGGTGCAGTGGACAAACAGAAGTAGGCAAGGGAAGGACAGCGAATTAGTCAAGGCCCACAGGGACTGCACGTACGGACACACACGCACGCACGCACACACGCACACACGCACGCACGCACGCACGCATGCACGCACGCACGCACGCACGCACGCACACACGAATGCACACACACACCCCACACACACACACGCACACATAAACACTCACTCTCCCGCCTCCACCAGCTGCTGCCGCCCCTCAAACCTTTCCTCACCCCCCTGCTTTTGAGTCAACTCAAAAGATGGCTTTCAGTCAATTCAAAAGCTCTCCCACACCCACCCACCCACCCACCCACCCACCCACCCACCCACCCACCTGTGAGGATGCCAATGCGCTGTGTGATACTCCTCGCCTCCAGCAGCTGCTGCCGCCCCTCTGCCCTCTCCACGCCCCCCGGCACAGCACCAGCAGCAGCAAACGACAGCTGCTGCACCCGCCGCACCAGCAGGAGCGGCTCCTCTCTTCGCATCAACCCACCCTCCCTCGCTCCCTTCACCCCCCTGACATGCCCATGCCCCTCCTCTTGAATTTTACCCTCCCCTTGCCTTCTTTCGTTCTGAGACAAGCTTCCTAGAGGCGTGTTGTGGTTCCCTTGCAGGTCCCGCAGCTTATCTTTTCCTTTCCGCTCCTCCTCTCTCCCCTCTTTCGCCTCTCTCTCCTCTCTCTCTTCCCTCCCTACGCTCTCTCCCCCCTCACCCCCCCCCTGCTGCGTCCCCTTCAGCTTTCCCCCGTCCTCCTCTGCTTCCCCCCCCACTGTCCCCCCCACTGTCCCTCCCACTGTCCCCCCCTCTGTCCCCCCCTCTGTCCCCCCATCTGTTTTCCCCCATGTGCGCCCATCCAGGGCCATTAGCTGCGCCTGAGCGCCCTCCAAGATGCTTCCCCCCAAGAGGGAGGGGCTTATATGCTGCGAGCAGGGGGGCTGCAGGGGGAGCAGAGCGGGGGGGAGCGGGGGGAAGGAGCCGTCCAATCGCAGGCGAGAAGAGAGGTCCCGTGTCTGGGGGGGGGGCGGGGGGGGGGAGGAGGGGGGGGGGGAAGAGGAGGATGAGGAGAGAAAGGGGGGAGTGTTATGGGGTTGTGTGCAGTAGAGTGGAAAGATGCAGGGGGAAAGGTAAACTGGGAGGGGGGATAGGGGAGGAGACAAGGAGCAGAGAAGGTCAGCAGGCAGACATACAGCAATTTTTTAGGCGCCTCAAAGAAGGGCAGCAGGCAGACATACAGCAATTTTTTAGGCGCATCAAAGAAGGGCAGCAGGCAGACATCCAGCACGCGGCACATGGTACATGGTACTTCACAAATGGCAAATGGAACAGGGTAAGCAGCATTGCTAGCAGTATCTCAGCAGCATCGCACAGGAACGCAAGCAGCACACATGCCACAGCAAAGAGCTCATAAGGCACACCGCACAGCACCGCACTGCACCGCACTGCACCCACCTGCTGTAGCAGGGCCCAGAGGCGAATCTCCCCTCGCTGCAGACGCAGGGAAAGGCGGTGCAGGGCGCGCCGGTTGATGCTGTTGGGGGAGCTCCAGTGCAGCACACGACCCATGCCAGCCACACTGTCTGCTGCCGTGCCAGCCACACTGTCTGCTGCCGTGCCAGCCACACTGTCTGCCATGCCAGCCACACTACCCTCCCCTCCCTCTCTCCGTAACACCTCCTTCTCCTCCCCACCATCTCCTAACAGCTTCTTTTCATCCCCCTCCGCCTCCTCCTCCTCCTCCTCCTCCTCCTCGGTCCACTCCAGCCCCCCTACGAACGCCTGCAGCAGCAGCTCCTCCCGGTCTTCCCGCTCCTGCACCTGCGCCTGGCAGTACGGGATGGTCTGGGGGGGGAGGGACGCGTGAGGAGGGCGGGGGAGGCCGAGGGGAAGTAGGGGTCGTGGGAAGGCAGAGAGAAGGGTAAGGTCTCAACAACCTCTCGGTCCTTCTGCTCCTGCACCTGCGCTTCGCAGTACGGGATGGACTGTGGAGGAATCCATGGGATGGGAAGAGGGTGGCTAAGGCAGAGGGGAAGCGAGGGTTGTACGGAAGAGAGGGAGAAGCTTGAATCTCGGTCCTTCTGCTCCTGCACCTGCGCTTGGCGGTACAGGATGGTCTGGGGGGGGAGGGTAAAGGGAGGGGTACACACGCAGTGGCGCAGCAGAGAGTTCCAGGCACGGGGGGGGGTGGGGAGGATAGGGGGGAGCAGCTAGGAATGGAGTGGGGGAGAAGGGGGGACTGAGACAAAAAGGAAAGACAATCTCAGGAAAGACAGTCTCTGGAAAGACAGTCTCTGGAAACATGTCACTGGCAGGGAAGGTGGGGAACGAGGGTTCAAGCAGCGGAGGATGCAAGCAGCGGAGGATGCAAGCAGCGGAGGATGCAAGCAGCGGAGGATGCAAGCAGCGGAGGATGCAAGCAGCGGAAGATGCAAGCAGCGGAGGATGCAAGCAACGGAGGATGCAAGCAGCGGAAGATGCAAGCAGCGGAGGATGCAAGCAGCTGAGGATGCAAGCAGCGGAGGATGCAAGCAGCGGAGGATGCAAGCAGCGGAGGATGCAAGCAGCGGAAGATGCAAGCAGCGGAGGATGCAAGCAGCGGAGGATGCAAGCAGCGGAAGATGCAAGCAGCAAAGGATGCAAGCACCTGCTAGTGCTGTGCAGTGATAGAGGCAGGGGTCAGGGCAGGACAGTGAGAAAGGAACGCGCAGAGCAAAGGGTGGTTGAGTCGAGGGTATGGAAAAGAGGGGAGACGGTGGAAGGTGGGGAAGGACAGGAAGGGCTGATGGCAGTCAGCACGGCATGGTGCACCTGCAGCAGGTGGTCGACTCGCACTGTGGTGATGGCAGTGCTGTGCATTCACCTTATCCACTGGCTGGCAGTGCTGGGGGTGCCGTGCATTAGCAGCCTCGAAACCACAAGGCACGGGAGGGGGGGAAGGGCACGGCACCTGCAGCAGGTGGTTGACTCGCACTGTGGTGAGGGCAGTGCTGTCGATGAGCATGCGGCCATCAGAGAAGCGCTTCACCTGTGAGTAGGCATGTGAGTGCGCATGTGAGTGGGCATGTGCGTGGGCATGTGAGTGCGCATATGAGTGGGCATGTGAGTGGGCATGTGAGTGGGCATGTGAGTGGGCGTGTGAGTGGGCATGTGCACATGGGTGGGTGGGTGGGTGGATGGACCATGGACGATTAGGGTTGCAGAATGTGCAAAACAGGAGGATGTGAGAATGATGGAATGAGAGAAGGAGAATCTGTAAAGTAATCCCCCTCCCCCTCCCCCTCCCCCTCCCCCTCCCCCTCCCCCTCCTCGCCCCCCACCCCGCCCTCTAATTTTTATTTCCGCCCCTCCTCTTCCTACCCTTCCCCCCCTTTCTCCCTTCAGCCCACCTTATCCACATGCGTGAGGGTGCCAATGCGGCCAGTCAGAGCATCTGCCATGCCAGTGATGCTGCCCCCACTCTGTCCTCCATTCACTCCCCTTGCTCCCCCCTTGCTCCCCGCACACCCCTTTTGAGTCGACTCAGACGTCCCCTCCTTTGCCCCTAGAGCTCACCTTATCCACCTGCATGAGGGTGCCAATGCGGCCGGTGAGAGCATCTACCAGTGATGTTCTCCGCACTCTGCCCTTCACTCTCCTTGCTCCCCACACACCCCCCTGCTCATTTGCCTTTTCCCTCTCAATGCTGCTGCTACCACTGCTGCTCTTGCGACTGCTGCTGCTGCTGCTGCTGCTGCTGCTGCTGCTGCTCCCGCTGCTCTGAATGCTGCTGCTACTGCTGCCGCCCCGGGAGTGTGGCAGTACAGGCGGCGGGCGGCGGATGGAGGGCGGCAGGAGGAGGTGCACGTAGAGGTGGGGCGGCGGGCCAGCCAGGAGCTTCTCAAACACTGAAAGCAAGGGATGTTGTGGACGTGGTTGGGGGAGAGGGAAAGACAGGGTATGCCGGAGATGTGGTTTTGCAGAGAACTAAAAGGATTTGAACCACAGCAAGCCGTGTCTCTTCGACCGGCTTAACGGGTAGAGTGTGGTTCACTTGAGCAGGTTAAGGATAGAATATGGACTGCAATTTCACTACTTCTGCAACCTCAATCCACGAGTCCTCCTCTTCTGCAGCCTGCCACAGAGTTGTGGAGGCCAGTAAAAGAAATTGACCCCATGTCTGCAGCAGTACAATCCGGTTCCCCGGAAGCTGAGAGCTTCAGGGAAATCAGATCCTCAAGACCAGCCAAAGCTAGAAATTTCCGAGCTAGGGGATTAATGAGACTGAGAAACTTTTAGCTTTGAGAGCAGATCGACGGTAGGGAACGCATGCTGCTTGTGCGCCCCTGTTACGTCTATCTACCGCTGAAGCTCCACTAAAAGTTTGTCATATTAAAAAATCCCTAGCTTGGAAAATTTGCATTTCAAGACTGATGTTGAGCAACCAACTTCATCTGAATCTCTAAGCTTCTGGAGGAACCGCATTGCACAACTGCGGACACGGGGTCAAGTTCTGCTGGTCTCCAAAATTCACCGGCAGGTTGCGAAGGAGGCGGGCTCGTGGATTGAGGGTGCAAAATATTCGCAATTTGAGGCTGCAGAAATAGATGGGTCAACGGGCCCGCTAGGAGCTTTACAAACAGTTAAGAGCACGGCACTTCGCGGAGGCGGTTGGGGGAGAGGAGAGGATGGTAGGAGGGGGAAGTAGGGTGTAAGGTGTTGAGGAAGGAACGATAAGGGTTAAGGAGAAAGAGAAGGGCATGTAGAGATGAGGCTTAGGGTCGACTAGGAGCTTCTCAAACGCTGCGAGCGAAGGACGTGGGTAGGGAAGAGGGAAGGGCACGAGTCTTGATATGGTACAGCAGCAGCAGCAGCAGCAGCAGCAGCAGCAGCACCATCAGCGGGAGAAGGGTGTGGGTAGGTTCGGAGAGGGTTTAAAACGAAAAGGAGGTGCATGTAGAGCAGGGCGAGGGACGGCTAGGAGCTTCTCAATCACTGAGAGTGCGGGACATGGTTAGGGAGAGGGAAAAATGGTGGGAGGGGAGAGGGACGAAGGGTTTGGCGGCGCAGGGAGCGGATATGGGGGGTTACGGGGCATGGGAGCTGCACTTAGTGGTAGAGTGTGGGCCTACGAGTGGCCTCGCAAGCACGGGACGTGGTTGGGGGAGACGGGAGAGGGGGAGAGGGACGAGATGGTAAAAAGAGGAGTCCATACAAGCATGTTGGTGGTGTTGTGAGAAAGTAACCGGTGCTATGTTGATATAATGTCATGATGCTATAGCGTCAGTGTGCTGTGAAGCTACTATAGGGGACCAGGTGCAGAGAAGGTGTGGGGGGGAGGGGGGAGGGGGGAGGGGAGCGGAGAGGTACAGGGCGCGATACTTACTGAGGACGTAGTGCGGCAAGAAGATGTGCAGGCAGGGAGTCGGAGGCTCCATCCAAGCAGCACGGGGTTACTTGTAAGTCGCCTCTACTCTACAGTCACCTACCGTACTTACTGAGGACGTACTGCGGCAAGAAGATGTGCAGGCAGGGAGTCGGAGGCTCCATCCAAGCAGCACGGGGTTACTTGTAAGTCGCCTCTACTCTACAGTCACCTACCGTACTTACTGAGGACGTACTGCGGCAAGAAGATGTGCAGGCAGGGAGTCGGAGGGCAGGGTCCAGTCCAGGCAGCGCAGCACGGGGTGACTTGTGAGTCGACTCAACAGTGGTCGCCTACAGTCGCGTACCCAGTACTTACTGAGCACGTAGTGCGGCATGAAGATGTGCAGGGAGTCGGAGGCGCCAGGCAGCACAGCCCACTGCACGCAGAACACAGGGAGCTCCATCGCACTCACGCCACTCACGCCACTCGCGCTGCTGCCACTCCCCCTACCCTTTCCTTGTTCCTTCTCCTCCTCGGTCTGCTGCTGCTGCTGTATATCACTGCCTATCTCCTCCCCCTCCCTACCCCCCTGTGTCTCTTCCCCCCCGCCTCTCCCGCTGCTGCAGCAGCCACCACCGCCCGTGACCCTCTAATCCTTCCCCCCTTGTCGCTCCTACCGCCATTCCAAAAATCCCCACCTGTGCAATTCCTCCCAATTCTACTTAATCTCACGCTACTGCCCAAGCCTACGCCCGCACCAGCGCTTATCCTAAGCCGTCGGCCAGTGCTTGTTTCGCCGCTAATGCTGCTTCTAGCTACAAGGCGGTAAGCGGAAGCTAGTTGGGTTGCGGAGGGGGCGGCCTGGGGAAGTTGGGGGTGGGGAGGGGGGCGAAGGGGGGGGGTTTGGGTGGGGAAGGAGAGCGGGGGGGGAGAGTGCGGAAGAGAGGAGAAGATGTGAGCTTTGGGGGGTTGTGGGAAAAGGGGGGAGGTGGGGAGAGAAGGAAAGGTGGGGGGGAGAAGGTGTACGGGGATGCTGTGCGGCGTGCGATCGTTCGGTCGTGGGCAGCGCGATTGCGCGAGAACCCACCATTACTCCCATTCGGCCCGCCCGTTGCATGCGATAATCGCACCCTACGACCGAAGCGAGACGGTCAATCGCAAGCCCGCTAGCTGCGCGTCAAGCTCGAGGGTGAATGCAGGTCGGCCGACGAGGGCAAGGAACGAATGACAGGCTCAACTACTTGGCGCGCGCGACAAGGAATTCGAGTTTTGCGAGGAACGCATGTGGGGGAACGAGCGAGCGACACGTGGCGAAATCTGACCCCTTGTGGAAGCCGCAAGGCAGGGAGGGTGGTAAAAAGCAAGTGCAAGGTGAAATGAGCACTGTACATGGCATCGACTAATATCGAGGTGTTGGTATGCGAATCATCGATTATACACTGTACCGTTTTTTCTTACACATATAACCTAATCTTCTGAATGCCATCCCACACACATTGTGTAAGGAAAATTCCTTTTCCTTACTGGGCTCAACTACAGCGCGTACGCCCTCGACCCTCGGAAGACCAGGCCCGGCCATTTTCCTCGGTCCCGAACAGGCCCTCAGATTGGTTTTAGGGAGGCTGATTGCTCAGGGTCGCCCATGTGAGAGCCTATGTTTTTCAGGGTCGGGTTTTGGGCGTGGCATGTTTTTTCAGGCCAATTGTTTTTTTTTATTCTGACTTATCAGGCCTACATTTTTGTAGTTTCTGATTCTTAGGTCGGATCAGACTTCATTGCGTACAATTCTTCTCGTCAGATTCCTGCATGATTTTAACTAAGGACCAATCAACCTCCTCACACCTCCTCTTCCTCGCCTCGAACTTGCGTGATTCTGGTCAAGGACCAATCACGCCCCCCACACCTGTTCTAGCTCGCCTTGAAGTTCTGTGATTGTGGTCAAGGTGTCAACTTATACATATTATCTATGTAGAAGTTATAGGCTAGACTGAGGTATGCTTCTAGTGAGTACAACCAACTAGTATTTGTTCTAGGTTTCCACCTCTAGTAATCATTCGTTTCTACGTTAACATGGTATCACGCTTAGGTTAGGATCCCCCCGCCTACCGCTTCCGCCCGTCGCGCCTCCTAGGCCCCGTCGCGCCCCCTAGGCCCCGTCGCGCCCCCCTGGGCCCCGTCGCGCTCGTTAGGCCCCGTCGCGCCCCCCTGGGCCCCGTCGTGCCCGCTGGGCCCCGTCGCGCCTCCTAGGCCCCGTCGCGCTCCCCCTAGGCCCCGTCGCGCCCGCTGGGTCCCGTCGCGACCCCTAGGCCCTAACGCGCCCCCGCTGGGCCCCGTTGCGCCTCCTAGGCCCCGTCGCGCCCCCCATGGGCCCCGTCGAGCCCGCTGAGCCCCGTCGTGCCTCCTAGGCATCGTCGCGCCTCCTAAGCCCCGTCGCGTCCCCCCCCTCTGGGCCCCGTCGCGCCCGTTCGGCCCCGTCGCGCCCCTCCTAGGCCCCGTCGCGCCCGCTGGGCCCCTTCGCGCTTCCTAGGCCCCGTCGCGCCTGCTAGGCCCCGTCGCGCCCCCCCTGGGCCCCGTCGCGCCCGTTAGGCCCCGTCGCGGCCCCCCTGGGCCCCGTCGTGCCCGCTGGTCCCCGTCGCGCCTCCTCGGCCCCGTCGCGCCCCCCTGGGCCCCGTCGTGCCCGCTGGGCCCCGTCGCGCCCCTTAGGCCCCGTCGCGCCCGCTGGCCCCTGTCGCGCCTGCTGTTAGCGCTCGCCCGCCTGGCCTCCTCCTAGTGCCGCTCGGCCTCCTCCTAGTGCCGCCCGGCCTCCTCCTAGTGCCGCCCGGCCCCTTCCTAGCGCCGCCCGGCCTCTCCTCAGCGCTGCCCGGCCCCTCCTCGTGCCCGACCGGCCCCAGCAGCACCAGCCTGGCCCCTCCCAGCACCAGCCCGGCCCCAGAGCACCTGCCCGCCTCCCCTGCTCGGCCTGCCGTGTCCTCTCGGGCCCTGTGTCTTCTGCTTGCCTGCGCTGGGACGCCTAGCTGCTGCCCTACTGGAGAGTGCTGCCGCCGTGTCCCCGCGCCGCTGTGCTCCTGTGCCGCTGAGGAGCTGTGCTGCTGTGCCGCTGTGTCGCTGAGGAGCTGTGCCGCTGACCCTGCACGATGGCTGACTTTGTGCTCCGCCTGGACGCTGAGGGCCACGCGGTTGACTTCGCCGCCTGGCTCTCCGATCTTCGCCGCCAGCTTACAGGTCAGCGCCAGGATGGCCACTCTCTGGTTGTCCATGCTGATGGCTTGCTCCCCCGTCCCCCTGCACCTACTCCCCTCCCTGCTGACCCCTCCTCTGATGACCGTGAGGCTTTCTCTACTGCTGCGCTGGCCTGTGCGATCTGGGACTCACGCGATGCAGTAGCTCAGGTTGCTATTAGTCACGCCCTCCCTGTATCTGAGCGCTCGCGTTTTGCTACTGTTGAAACGGCCAAAGCTTATTTAGACGCCGTTATTGCTCGCTATTCCACCCCTGCCTCCGCTTCTGCTGGCCGCTTGCTCTTTCCGATGCTGTTCCCAGACCTGGCTGCCTTCCCTACTGTCGCAGATTTTGCCACTCATTTGCGTGCCCTAGAGACTCGCTATCGCACTGCCAGTACTGCTGCCCAGCTCACTGCGCTCCCCCCTCCTTTCTGCATGACGCTCTATTTTATCGCTATGCGCCTGCCAGACCGCCTCGCTAGTGCTCGCGACCACTTTCTTAGCCAGCACCCGGGTGACCTCACCCTGACCGCCTTTGTCGACACCCTCACTGAGATCGAGACTCGCCAGCGCACTATCGCTCAGTCGAGCGGTGCGCCGCCAGTCTCTATCTTTCACGGCTGTGCCCCATCCCCGTGCACGTTCACTGACGTTTCGGCTGCGGTCGCCACGGCGACCCCTCTTACCGAGACGGCTGCTGCTGTCCACCCGCAGCAGCGCTCGCGTCGCGGTGGCCGTGGCCGCCAGGGAGGTAAGGGTGGTGACGCAGGTGGTAGTGGTCGTGGTGGTGGTGACGGTAGTCCGCCTGAGGGGACTACCACCGGTGGGCAGGAGCAGCAGTCCCAGCAGCAGCAGGACCAGCCCCAGCCGCAGCCGCCGTCCCAGCAGCACCCGCCGCAGCCGTGGGCTCGTCTCCCGCCTGGTTGGCCCGGCACCTCCGGAGGCGGTGGCCGTGGTGGCGGCCCGCGCAGCTTGGCGTCTACCAGCGGCTCCAGTGCTGTGACCTGCCAGTACCAGCTTCAGACCGGGCCTCTCCGCGGCACTCTGTGCCGCCGCCCGCACCCGACCGCCCGCTGTTTCCGCCGCCTCGACGATCTTTTTCGTCGTCGCTTTGGCTCGGCCCCGGACCTCCCTGACTGGCACAGCCTGCTCCGCCAGGGCGTGCCGATCTTTGAGTTAGACATGGATCAGATAGGTGCTGCTTTGCATGCTTTGTATGCTGACGCTTCTAGTGTTGATGGATCTTACTACCCTGTGTACTCTAGTTTAGGTGTTTCACCCTTGTGTAGCTTAGCTTCCCCTGCTGCGACAGGCGTAGGACTGCCTAGGTTGCCTAGTCTAGTCGCTGCACCGGCTCCGTCCCCGGCCCCCGCCACTGCGTCGCTGTCCTTCACTCTCGACTCTGGTGCTTCTGCCTGCTTCTTCCGCGACCGTTCCACGCTCACGCCGCTTGCTGCACCTGCTGTTGTCTCTCTCGCTGACCCCTCTGCGGGTCCGGTCGTCGCGCGCAGTTCTACGTCCCTTCCCTGTCCGGCAGTTCCCTCGGGCTCCCTTACTGGCCTCCACGTTCCCTCGTTCTCCAGGAACCTGGTTGGTGTCGGCTGTCTCCAGGACCTCGGCGTCACCACCACGTTCCCCGGGCACGAGCGGTTCGCTGTCTGTTCTGAGGCTGTCTCAGGTTCCCCCCTTGCGACGTTCCCCCGGGACCCGGTGTCCGGTCTGTTTACCCTACACACCGCTTCCCCCCCGGTTGGTGCGTCCTCCCAGGTCGCTGCAGCTTGCTCGTGTCGGTCCCTCACTCACCCCTCCCTTCTCTGGCACCACCGCTTAGGTCACCCTGCTCTCCCGCGTCTGCGTCACATGTCCCAGCACGGTCTTGTCTTAGTCTCCCCGCGTCGCTCCCTGCCCTTCCTCCCTCGACTGCGCCACCGTGCACGCCTTGCGTCGAGGGTCGGCTCCGCCGTGCTCCTCACTCCTCCTCGCTGCGTCCTGCTACTGCCCCCCTTCAGACCCTGCACTTGGACGTTTGGGGCCCTGCCCCCGTCCCCGGACCGCGCGGTGAGCGCTACTTCCTTGTGCTTGTCGACGACTACACGCGCTACACCACGGTGTTTCCCCTGGAGCGGAAGGCCGACGTGCCCGACGTTCTTCTCCCGTGGGTTGTGGCTGCGCGTCTCCACCGCGGTCTCCCCGTGTTGTGTCTCCACTCCGACCGTGGCGGCGAGTTCGCCTCTGGTCGGCTTGGACAGTTCTGTCGTGCGGAGGGCATCACCCAGTCGTACACGTTGCCGGACTCGCCACAGCAGAATGGGGTTGCTGAGCGCCGCATCGGCTTGGTCATGGAGGTCGCCCGTACCTCCATGATCCATGCCGATGCCCCCCATTTTCTGTGGCCGTTCGCTGTTCGCTACGCGGCTCACCAGCTTAACCTGTGGCCACGCTCCCAGCGGCCGCAGGTTTCGCCGACCCTCCTTTGGACCGGGTCCCCCGGTGACGCGTCTGCGTTCCACGTCTGGGGCTGCCTTGCTCACGTTCGTGCCTCTGGCACGGACAAGCTCACTGCCCGCACTGTCCCCTGTGTCTTCCTCGGTTTCCCCCTGGACTCGTCTGACTGGCTTTTCTACCACCCGCCGTCTCACCGCTTCCTCCACTCTCGTGACGTCACCTTTGATGAGTCCGTCTCCTTCTACCGCCGCTTCCCTCACCGAGGTCTCCCAGTTGCCCCCCCCCTTTTCCTTGCTCCCTCTCCCCCGGTAGCCCCTGCCCCTCTCCCGCCTCGTCCTGCCCCGTCTGGTGTCTCCCACGTCACTCCCCTCCCGTCGGTTGTCCCCGTTGAGGAGTCTGCTGACTCTGGTGGTACCCCCGGTCCGTCCTTGCCGCGTCCCCCTTCCCCGGTGCCTCCGCCCCCACTGTCGCAGTCGCCGACCCCGCTGCCGCCGCCGTCGTCGTCGCCGCCGCAGCCGTCGCCGCTGTCGTCGCCGCCGCCGCCGCTGTCGCTGCCGCAGCCGTCGCCGCTGTCGCCGCCGCCGCAGCCGTTGCCGCCACTGCCGCCGCTGCTCTCGGCCCCTGGGGGTGCTGGTGTGGAGGAGGGTGTTCGTCCTGCGGCTTCTGGGGG